AAAAAGGAAGGATAACTAGTACTAAAGGCCTTTTGAAAGAGTCATATGGGAACCTAGTATAGAAGCTTCTCACAAAATATACATAGACAATATAAAACAGATTCAAAGATAGTTACCCTATACAGGGGTCTACCGTTGTGATAGACTCTCAACACTACAATTCAGTGCAAAGAATCGACTTCCTCTTTTGGAATTATTGACCAAAAAGATCCCATAGATTCTTAAAACATAGTGGCTATTATTGCTTCTGCATTGGCTACCCACCATAACTGGATTATAGGACCTTAATGCTAAATATGTGAGTCACAGAACATACATGGAGAAATCAATGTTACTGACCTTGAAGCTACATTTCTGAGGATAGCTTCCATAGCATTATAAGATGGTATACCTGTTACTGAAAGACAAAGGTAATCTTCAAACATACAAAGTTCTGAAACCTGTGAGCTACAGTGGGAACTGGCTTGGCAAAATAAACCCACTCATGCAATAGAGACATAAATATTATAGTAGTAATTAATAACCTCACTGGATTTAAAGCCCACTTGACAATAGAGGCATCCATAGCTGACACTTTTACCTGGGTAAGTACCTCTGCCTAGACAATCACAGGTCATATGAGAGATCCTACTACTATCATCCTACTAAATAGAAATAATATTAAACTGACTCACAATGACTTATTGTTGTATCTGTAGATTAGTGCATGCCTCAACAGACCTCATTGGAGTACATGAAATACGCCTTCCTCCAAAGTAAAGGGATCTTTGTGGAAGAAGATATGGAAAGATGTTAAGAGACAGAGATGGTAAATGAACAGAAAGAAAGTGTCTGGATACTGGAGAGTAATTTAACTTAACAGATGAACATATAGTGCTTAGGAAAGCACACACACAACTTGTGAAAATCTAAGCCAGTCAGGGTCCAGCATGGATGCAGGAATGGATCTGTCAGCCACAGCCCTAGCTAAGAGTCTATTGGCAAATGATGGATGCTGGAAGGGGGAAAGTCAATTTTCCTTACTGGTGTGACATGTAGTAGACTGAGCAGAATCCAGGAAATGTACTCACACTCAGGAACACTTGGAAGTACTATTGACATAATCAATACAATTTTTAAAAAGCTTAATTAAACAAATAAAATAAAAAGATTAATAATAGAGGAAGTGAAACTGAGGTAACTAGTGGGGAGGAGCTGTGAGAGGGGAGGGTCTGAATGTGATCAACATTCTTTATGAGAGTCTAGAATCAAATAAAAATTATAAACAGACTTCCACTTCATTTTATTTGTATGTATACAATGTATAACCTTCTGTCATACACCAAATTCTGGATTTCTGATTTTAAAATAAATGCACAGGAAAATTACAACATAAATTTGTAACAAAATATTGCAAAATGAAAAAAAAAAAGCTCATACTGTACACATAAACATGTGAACTAAAACCTACAGGAATTTAAAAAAAGTGAAAACCACGGACATTTTGAATTGTCATATAATAGTTGCTATTACAAATAGTTTTAAAATGGAACTCATTCCATGCTACTTTTGTATCCACTTGGGCTTCAATTTTCTTTATTCATTCAATCTAATCATGACTTTAATAGCATACTAACATATTTAATATATAATGAAGAAGAAAATACTGTATGGTTTTCAATGACACCTTGCTTAAACTTGAAAAGCAAGTTCAGTTAGGCATGGTGGTGCATGCCTGTAATCTTAGGCCCAGGTAGGAATAAGTAGAGGTGGATCTCTGTAGGATCAAGGCCAGTTTGGTCTACATAGTGAGTTTTATCCAGCTGGGGCTACCAGGGAGATACTGGATAGCAGTAAGTTCTATAGTTTAATCTATATTATGGCATCAATTTAAGTATCAGACCAAATTCATTGAAGTAGGCAAGTCATCATAGCCATTTAACATGTGTTTGGATTTATCCTCCCTAATATTGACTACACTTACTAGGTGAGCACTAATAATTGCTTTATTTTTGCCTATCAATTTCATTAATTTTATAATTTTGATTTAGAATTGTCTATCACTTAGAGTAATTTTGGTACATTTCATTTTAAAATGTTACTAAATCTGTAAATTTGTCAAAGATTATTGGTCAGCAGCAATAGCAATGAGCTAAAATTGGACACTCCTGTACTTTATCTGAATTAGAACCAGCAGTCATACATGTAAGAATAGCAATGCATGTAATTAAAATGTCACTGATGCAATTCATACAAATGATCTCATGAACATAGCTGGATGTACAGAAAAAAAATCTGATACATAGTGTTTTCCAAACCAATGAATTCTAGATGAAGAAATATTTAGGACATAATTATCAGCATAAGGGTTTGCTGTACGAAGGTGCATGGTTTTACATATATTTTCTTCAACATATATCATGTATAGGGATGCTTTCAATGCAACAATATCAAACTGTGTACAATATTTAATTATCTAGCAGCTATTGGAATCTATGTGGCCATGAACTTATTTTCTTTTTATTGACATGATTTTCAGAAGTTTCACCTCTATATATAGTTAAGTTACTTTTTAGGGCATTAAGATGAACATATAAGTAAGAAGAAATGATATTGTCAGTAACAAAGATATTATCCATAATTACTTTCATTAAAATTGGTGACAACAGACTAGTATGATTCTCCAGGGTCTCTGCCCCTAGTGTCTTTCAGTTCCATAATAAGCTATAAACAGGATCATGGAATATATTCTTACATGCTGTCTCTTCTTCCATATATCTATTTGATCTTTCAAAAATGTTTCCAAAGCTGGTAAAATATCATTAGTTTTCTCTTTACTTTTATTTTGCAAGTATCAGTAGTTGACACAATTTGGGAAGATTTTAAGGACATTTTCACTTCAAGGGGGATCATACAAGATGTTTATTATTAACAGTAATGCCGTAATTAAATTAACCATCAGGGAAGTCTCTCTTTTGGTGAGTTGATTGAGTGTTGCATATCTTTTCAACCTCATAGGATGTGGAAATCCACAAAAATTTGGAGAGGGCAAAATCTATGTGAACTAAAGGCCAGAGACACAAACTATCACAATTACAATGGGATATACAAAATGAAATTCTTGATGACATTGATAATAATTCATGGAAACTAATTTTTGTGACATATTCTTGGCATTCAGGATGCCCAGAAGGTAAGCATATGTAAGGAATCCAAGGGCCTTAGATGAAGTGAAACATTAAAGGATGGGAAATAAGAAATCAATCTAGATGGTAGTAAATCCAATGATAAGTGAGTAGCTCCCAATTTGGTCTAAAGGATCTAAGTATGTATGAGTAGGGTTGACTGGTTACAATTAAATTACAACAAATTCTGATATACTAGCAAACTGAGGACTTAGATCACACATCATCTCCAAATAGTTACTCCAAATAGTCACACCTAATGTTATTTTCAGAATACTGATTAGATGCTGAGATATATTTTAACCAGTAAAAGTAAAGCAAATATACAGAGGAAGAGGGGAAAATGAGTAAATACTGAGAGAAGTGAGAAAGGGAAGAAGAAAATGAGATCAAAAAAGGGAAAGAACAAGAACAAGAGTAAAGCTGTCCTTCTAAGTGCAAGAAAGCTAGGGAATGTGACTGTAAATACTTGCAAATAGCCATGAAAGAGTACATCAGGCTTCTAAACTTTCCTGTAGCCCTCCAAATGACACACTTTAGAATCTACATATAATTATCAATATAATAAAGTATTCTAAAATTCATGCTTAAACATAGAATGAATGATGATGATCAGTGTCCTGGATACTATAGTCATAGGATTTAACCAGGGTGCAGTCAGTACAAAGAAAGGAACTTGTGAGAAAAAAAAAAACAAAACAGGCAGTAGAAATTTTGCTAAAGAATATGGAATGAAAGGAGTGTGATAACGATCAGGAATCCTTTGATTTTTAAACTGTGCTAATTCTTGTTTTGATATTGGATTAAACACTTGAGAAAAGTTACATGTAACTGGCATAATAGAGAGTCCACACATGTAACTGGGATAATATAGAGTCCACAAAGGTCCACTAAAACCCCAGTATAATGAGCAGTATGATGGTGTAGCTGATAGTCGACACGGGATTTAAAGTGAAGAGCACTGTAGGACACTCCTGATTGTAATAGACAAAAGCCAAAGATACACGTCTCCCATTGGTTTCTAGATAATCATTTATAATTATTAAGTGTCTAGTTTCTTCCTATAATCAGTAAGGTTCTAATATCAAGAGCCCTTGAGGATTTCAAAAGTAATATATTCACATCTTTTCATCTTAAAAATAATCTCAATTTATTCTCTGGACCTACTCGTAAATTGATCAAATTGTTCAAGTATTTTCTCATGCTTTAAATATTACATTCTTATCACTAAAGTTTGTTATTTCTAATTACTCATGAATAATTGAATATTTCTTTCTCTTGGCTGTAATTAACATTAAAAACGCTGTCCAAAATCAACAAGAGGTAAGTTATGAGAAAATTTTAAGAAAATTTTGAAATATTTCCCCAATGGCTCCGTTATTGGCATTTGGAGACATATGTTCGGAGTTTTGTCATCCAGAGTGTGTCTCAGACATCAATGTATGATGCAACTCATGTGCTTGGCTTGCTTTAAATGGCTCTTTTCATAAAATATAATTAAATTTCATCATGAAGTACTCTAATTAATATCTGCATGCATACATAATTTATGTGTTTATAAATCCATACAAGATCAGATTTATGAGTACTGCACCTCGATTACAGATGAGAACACTGCAATAGTGGAAAAAAAAACAGTTGACCAAATCACTAACTATCGAGTGGCCAGTTAAGATTCTAAACTGGGACAGAGCACTTACTGCAGCAAGGGGATCACGTTCATCTTTATGCTTCATATTGAGTCTCACCTGAGTTTCTAATATCCACCGTGTTGGATCAGGTCCTGCTCAGATACATTACCATTATTCCCCCTCCTCTTTTCTTAGCTGAAGCATCATGGTATATGACATCTTAAACCAGAGTTCCGTGACCACTTTCATCTTGGTGGGCTTCTCAGAGTATCCACAACTCCAAGTACCCCTCTTCCTACTGTTCTTGACCATATACATCGTCACTTTGATGGGGAACCTGGGCATAATTCTGATAATAAGGATCAATCCCAAACTTCACACACCCATGTACTTTTTCCTCAGTCACCTTTCAGTTTTGGATCTCTGTTATTCTAGTGTGTTTACACCCAAACTATTACAGATCTTAGTTATGGACGACAGAACTATTTCCTTCAAAGGATGCATGACACAGTTTTTCTTTATTTGTACATTTGTGATTACTGAAATGTTTATGTTAGCAGTGATGGCCTATGATAGGTTTGTGGCTGTCTGTAACCCCCTACTCTACACTGTTTCCATGTCTCCTAAGTTCTGTGCTCTCCTAGTAGCCGGAACTTATATGTGGGGTGGACTGTGTGCTGTGATACTCATATACACACTCTTGCAACTGTCTTATTGTGACTATGGCATCATCAATCACTTTGGCTGTGAATATTCTGCTGTCATTTCTGTGTCCTGCTCTGACTCCTCCCTCAGCCAGATGGCATGCTTCATCATTTCTATACTCAGTGAATCTTCCAGTGTACTGATCACCTTAGCCTCCTATGTCTTTATAGTTGTCACCATTGTCAAGATGCCTTCCAAAGGTGGACTCCGAAAAGCCTTTGCGACTTGTACCTCCCACCTGACTGCCATCACCATCTTTCATGGGATCATTCTCCTTCTCTACTGTGTTCCCAACTCCAACAGCTCACAGCTTTTTGTCAAAGTAGCCACTGCTCTGTATACAGTCATGATTCCTATGTTGAACCCCCTCATCTATAGCCTTAGGAACAAGGATGTGAAGGACACAGTCAGGAGGCTTATCAGTTCCAAATTACATTCTCATTTGACATAATTTCAATATATGCATATTCATGTTTGTGTACTTTTATGTTTCTTCTGTGACAAATTTTTTCTATATTTATAATTTTATATGTTTATATATCTTCTAAGTCTACCTACTATTTTCTTAAATACTATTGATATTTTAGATTTGTTAATGTATGGTTGAAATTTAGAAATCATATATTAACTATTACATAATTTTCTAAGTACAAAATGATTTGTATATTCTCTATAGCTTATAATTTTGAATGAGTGCAGTATAGCACAACTTTTATTTTCATCTTGGTGTATTTCACGTTGAATGGAAATTTTGTTTTTGCAATATGAAAAGATTGTCTCATTTTAAGAAAACAGATATTGAAAATACTAGGTGCTATCTACCTGCCTCTTTAAAGTTTCAAATATCAATATATTATGTCCCTGTTTAATAAATATGGTTACTGATATCAAGAAATAATTCTCTTTGCTTGCATTAATCCACCCATCTATTATATAGTGACACAGAACCATATTACTAAATTGTACCTTAGATCATGCACTTTTTAAATAAGCTGTACTTTCCCAGTCTGTTCTTCGTGTGTTCATTTGATTGACTGTCCCTTATATGTTCCAAGTATTTAGACACTGCTGCTGTGAAAACCTGACCATGTAGGTTGTAGCAGAAATGTAGAAGTCTTTGGAATCTTGGACTAGAAAAGTGGTTGAATGCTGTAACTGGAGTTTAAAAGTTCATTCTACTTCTAGTAGGAGTGAAAGAAAATGGTGCTGAGAGAAAGATAGTTTTGCTAAGGTGCAAAGACCCTTGGAAAGGACCACTCAGACTCCAGAAACTCTGAATTAGCTGAATTTATTTAGCTTGAAAAGTACTGCACTCTCTGGTTTGGGATTTAGTGAATGCAGCCCTGACCCAGAGGAAAGTAAAGCTTTTAAAGGCAAAAATCCACATGCTGATGGACCAAGCAGTGGCTGGTACAAAATTTACTCTAATGCAAGCAGTTGCTCAAAAACAAGTAATCACGCTTGTTCCTATAGGTGTGCATACAAGCAGTTATAAAAGCCAGATAAACAAGGAGTTACAAAAGCCAGGTAAGTCTTAACTGGAAACTTCTGGGGTTTTATGGATATATTTCTCTGGGGCCAGCTCTTTCTGGAACTGCTGGTTGGGAGCAGGTCAGGGTATGGGATGTCTCATCAAAATGGTGGTCTTACACAGAATGAAGGAGCTCAGACTATCAAATTTTAGAGGCAAAGAAGGACTTAAACAGCAACTGGGATATTTTGGCAAAGCACGTGGCTGTCCTCTGCTGAGCTGAAAAGTGATGGACTAATTTCTATGATGGAGTTTATTTCAAGACACCTAACTTTGAATCACTGGCATGGTAACTAATGGTGAATATAAAAGAGATCTACTTTATGATGAAAAGTAGCATGTGGAAAAGAAAGAAACACAGAGTGTACAGTTTGAAGGAAAAAAAGTAATACGAAGCTTAATGTTGGATCTAAGGCATGTGCTGAAAATAGGCTCTCTCTGATAAGGAGATTAGAGCCATTAAGTATAGGTCTGCAGATTTGCACTAGAATAATGTAAAAAAGTGTATTCTCAATGGCATGATGGAGCCCAGTCAAGTTTCCTTATGGAAGGAAAAAAAAAGAAAAAACTAAGGATTTTTATCCTAGAAAACCATAACCCACAAAAGCTGCTGGTAATGTGGATGAAGCGAGCCTAGGTTTATTCCAAGCTGTCAGCCAAATTTCACAGTGTTCTACCTTTAGAGGCATGACAGTGCCAAGTGTGATAGATTCATCAGTTCTTCCTCCATTGGTCAAAGAGGCACAAAGTGCAGCAGAGTACAACAAGGAAGTCCACGCATAATGAAAACTCTGACAGGACAAGAGTCCCTGTGTGAAACTGTGAAAGTGAAGCCTATTCAGGAGTGGAGACCCAACATGTTGAAGATTCCAGAGCCATAAGTCATCTGCCAAGGAGAGTTACATATAGGTAACAGTAACAGTCTAAGAGGGGGATATATGTTGCACACAAAAAGTTTGGAGGGACTGAATCGTCTAAGTCTTATGGAAAGTTACAGACATTGGATGTGGAGCTACTGGATTTGATGTTTTTCCTACTGCTTTTTAGGCTAGATTTAGTCTAGAATTCCCTCAGTACAATTCCATTCATTCATTTTGAAAAAGCAATGTGTATTCAGTTCTATTATATATTAGAAGTATGTAATTTGTCTTTTGATCTTACTAGAGCTTACAATTATGAGAATGCTTTGAGTCTCAGAAGAGATTTTGGACTTTTCAAAGGTGTCCAGACTGTGAATGAATATGGGGACTTTTAAGGTGAACTAAAAGCATTTTACATTGTGATATGGTATTGAACCTATGGGAGCCAGGATGTGGAATATGGTGGTTTAAATGAGTGTTCCCCATAGGCTTCAGATATTTGGACACTTGGCCCCAAACTCATGGTGCTGGGGAAAGTCTGAGGGATCCTGAGCCTTGCCAGATTGTTAGTTTCACTCTGCTTCCTGTGCCATCTTGAAAATGTGAGTGCTCAGCGTCCA